TGGGGTCCACTGACGTCGTGCTCTCATCAAGCATGATGGGCGATGTGATGTCGAAAACCCAACCCACACTCACAAGCGCAGAAAAGCAAATACGAAATCCAGGGCAGGGCTGGCATTTTGAGCAACCAACTGGCCCTCCCTCTCCTTTTGAGCAACGGCTCCAAATCCGTCGGGTATTACAGAGTTTGTCCCATTCCCCGCGTTTTGACTCTCCACCCATCCCATCTTTTTTAGTAGCGCGGTCTAGTGAATCTTATCGAGGCCTCGCGAACCAAGGATATCTCGCGGCCGCCGCCTAGCCCGGCCAGGGGTGCTGACTCGTGAAGCCCGATCGATGGATCTGCGCCCAGCGCTTCGAGTGACTGCTTTCAGTCTGAAGCGTCGACCATGGCTTGCTAGTGTCGTGCCAGTTAATGTTTTTTTGCTAAAGGCTCTTTTTTTTACGTGTGCACAGCTGGAGCCAGTGGAATCCCCGCGTTGATCTGAGAAACCACTAACCTAAGCGAACTTTTGCTTCTTGCTGACTTGAAGCCCTGCTGCAGATAATGACTCGACCCAGGCCCCGGACGCAGGTAATCGCCTGATTGTAACCCAAAGCCACAGATATACAGGATATTCTGTGAGACACTGTCAGAGCGTACAGTCAGCCGTCGCTGATCCCGTCCGCCAAGCTCGTTCAAAAGTTCATGATGCTATTTTCCACCATAGATAACGCTGAACGTTAGGCAGGCGTACTCCATAATCTTCCCGGGGAGACAATGACCTGAACTTCTGAAGGGTCAGGGGGCTTCATCACAGATTCAGGGGTAATGGCAGGGGTTATATGCACGGCAGCTTAGTGCGATTGCAAGAGTTCCTCGCTCCAGAAATCGGGCCCTATGGCACTATTCCCGAAAGCCCGATAGCTTCATTTGCTGATGAAGCCTTCATTCCTGTTATGGTACTTGTTAGCGGTGATCATTGGCGATGCTGGGACGAAAAGACTCTGAGAACAGATCGAGACTTAGCATGGCCAGACCAATTGTTCTTTAATCCTGGAGTAAGAACTAGGAAGCTATTCCCATGTATCCGGGACGCTACTGATATGACACGAGTTTTGTGGCTTTGTTTGGAACAGACAAGACTTGGCCGTGCTTGGATCGATTGGACCCCTGATTTCGTCGCTAGGAATGATTCCCGGACATCCTCTCAACGCTATGACGACGCTATCATGTGGACTTGCCTCTAACCAGCCTGTTGCATCCTTGTAACGGTTTATGGCCCTCATGCTTATAATCTGGAACGAACTACTTACTTTTTTCAGCCCAACGAGCAGCAGCCAGTTTGAGATTAATAACGATCTAGAAGATACACGGACACAGACATCTCATCTTCGTCGTTTTTGGACTATTGCTCCATAGTACTGAGTAAGTTTGAGTAGCATATTGCTCGGCATTGTTGCAACCCGGGCGGGTCATTACTAAGACCTTCTTTAATTAGAAGAGAAATCACTTGGCGTTTTTATCGATCTGCGAGATAACAAAATATCCAGTGATTGCCAATAATTGTGTTGGGAGTGCTTCTGTTCTGTCAACAGATCAAAGCCCGCGGAGTTACGGCCATGCCTCGGGTAGAGTATAATGTCTTTAATTAGGACCGAGGTGAATAGAGGGGCTTACAGGAGCCCTCCAAGAAAGTACTTAATTAGAATGCCTGCTTTTTTTGTCGATGAAAGTCAAATAAGCGAAGGCTGAACGTGTCAATCGGCCATAATCGCCGTTACTTTCCTGTGTCTGCGATCCTTGGCGTCGGTCCGACATTAGCTCAGAACATGGGTAGAGTGGTTTTGCAGTCGCGTAAGATATAAATGCCTATTGTTATTATCTGGATTGTCGATTATAGTCTTCGTGGGCTGCTTCTCTCTCAATCCTGCGAAACGTTGTCAGCTGAGTCCAAGGCCTGCTTATTGATCGACTACGTTGTTAAAGATGGGCATCGTCAAGTGTGTCTACCAATGCTTTCCGTCTTTTCCTTGCGTGATATTGTACTAGAACTGAGAGAAAATTTTCCAATGTGCAGGGATATCAACATCCTTTTCCTTGAATCCCGATATTCCATGCGGAAATGTGCCGTAATGGACATGGCAACCAAATCCTCCAATATCACCTAGGCTGACAACCAACCCTTCACGCATACGAACGCCAACCTACAACCTAGAACCCGCCGCTCAGAATGAGACAAAGTGTAATAAAGTGCCTTGACCGATTGCCGATTTACATTTCATTAATTGAATGCATGCAATACCCGCAAAATGGAAATTGACATTTTGACCTATACTTATACAGGGCAAGTGGCAGCTCGACGCAACCTGTGAGCCTTGACGAATCACGATCGTTGGAGGGAATCGTCGGAATGGGTACCGAGGAACAAAGTGAAAGTCTTGCAGTCAACACCACAGCGCAATTTCTCGTAAGCTTACCCATAAGATTGCCTATTCGTCATCTTGTGATGACAGGCGAAGACCTGGCCGAGGGATTAGCATCCGCAGCCGAAGCCTCTGGTCCTGGATTATGCTTGCTTAGTAGCCTATCTTGCCGTCGTTGCCGACCGAGGCGAAGAACTCACAGGTTGAGAATTCTTCACTCTTCTTCATCATATCCTGGTTCTATGGAAATCCGCCAAGCTCAATGGACCTTGCGTCGCCCTCCCAGTGTTACGGAACACTAGCCGGGATCCCGCTTTTGCCCCGGGAGACGTCTGGACGGTCGATGAGATTTTAGTTCGGCTTGCTTACTGCTGGTGAGACAATAGGAATTCTGACCTAACCTCAACCAGTTGCACCAGAGCCCCTGTTTTCTTTGGCGACAAATTCAACCCGTACAATGGTCCCCACGAGGCATTTTTCTCTAGCCAGACAATGCAACAGAGTTCCATGGTTATGGCACTGTTTCTTGAGGACCCTGAACTAGTGTTACCGTCCCGTGCCCCCGCTTCACCGATGGATCCGTGAGATGAAGACGCGATAACCTGTAGATCACCAACTAGCCCAGATGAGCGGGCGTCACGACGTTGCACCGACGCTTTGTCTGGAATGAGCTAAGGATCCCATCGCCCCATGCCGTCATCGACTCCTCCACTTCTTAAGCTCAACCTTAGACCATTTTCGACATGCCGAACTTCACTGGTGCATCTATAGAACTACAAAATGGCCGAATCACCGCAAGAAACCGTTGCAAAACACCTCTCGGACCCTAGCAAACCGCTCCGACCGATACTTACCTCTCTAAATGGCGATAACAGCTGGTTGATGTCCTTCCCTAGGCCTGAGGCGGAGAGGGCTGCTACAGGGAGGGTCTTTTACCATCTTGCTTTTGAACCATGGCTGAATGGAGCTGCTCATGTTGGACATCCGTGGATCGTACACCTTGCTCGTGTTGAAAAGGAGGGTATTTCGACGTTTGAAGACCTGGAGAATCTGATTTGCGAGATCGAGAAAGCTGCCTCTGCGCATTTGCCGGCAAACGCTCAGACCCAAGAGTCTACAAGACAACTCGATGCTATTCTTCTTGGTTTCTTTTACTCCGACCACCTCCATCCACAAACTCTGAAGACGTTTCCTCCCGAGATTCCTGTCATAGTAACAGCACCTGGAGCTGCCATCATCGAGCCGTGGAATCACTTCAAGACCATCAAAATTATCAACAACTTCGATTCATCAGCGACAACTTGGAACTCACCGGACCTACACCCAGGCGATCCTGTTCCAAGATGGTTTACACCACTCATGATCCTCGGCAAAAGTGAATTAAATTTTGTCTTTGCCATAATCTGGTCCCATACCATCAACGGCGAAGAAGTTCACGAAGCAATTCTAGACTCTCCCCACGGCGTGCAACTCGACGCGAAACCTCTCGAAGCATTCCTCGCATCAGAGCCCAAGACCAAGAAACTTGCGATGCTGCACGGCCTTAAGGAGAGTCATACTGGCGGTATCCAAACATGTTACGGTGCAAAGGGAGGACTTGGGCTGCACCGAAAGGTTGGAGGCGTAGAGCACTGGGTTTCGACGCACTCTTCTGAGCTGAAATATACGGGGATATTCATGAGACTTGTTTGGACTACTGATACACCGAGGACAATCGAATGGGCATTGGAAGAGGAGAAGAAAGCGCACCCTGGTGAGGAGTTGTCTGGACCGCCGAACTTTATCAGGGTTCCGAACGGTGCATCGACGGTTTTGACGTGTTAATGAAGTTGCCTTTTTGCGATTTAGAGGACGAGAACCTGCTTGTTTGGCTGGACGGCACCATTCGTTTTCTTAATGAGTATACGACTACCTGAATATAATATCGGTCGCTGCGGAGAAAAACGCGTGAGATCTGAAAACTGGTATCCCTACCGATGAGATTGAAGGATCGAAAATAGGACACTTGTCAGACCTGTCAGCCTTTGTAGAGGCTGCCAGGGCTGCAGCCTAGAGTTGATCGTGGTGGTTAAACAGCGGGGGTCGTGCTGAGAAACAGCGCCCCATCCCTTAAATTATAGCGGCTCTTTCCACTTTCTTATCAACAGCATATTCAATCCCAGGGCGCTTCTGACCAGCAGCACGTTATCAAGTCTGCCATGAATAAAACGATGACCGGGGATCGGAAAGAAAATAACTGTGGCAACGATATTACTGTTTGGGCTAAGAGATTTAAGTGCTGGCTGTTCTGGCACGGATATCTTGGTTAATCGGTAGGTAGTCGTGCGTTATAATTACAGCCTGAGCCCCCCAATTTACAGTGAGTGATTGGAGATGCACTGGAGCACACAATCGGCACCGCATAAACGGGGACCCTATCATCAGAGTGGAGGTTTCAATGGCTCAAAGTTTTATGATCAATTCATGCGTGAGCCTAAGTCTATCATGTGTGCATCGTCATAATACTCTATGATCTCCTATGATCTGGGGCAATCTATCCCTCAGTTGATGCCATACATCACAGACCAACCCTCAACCACCCATCACCATCTCAACATTATAGCAGGTGTCGCAAAAGTCCAACCAAGTTGCCAATGGGGTTATTGAGTCTGCGCGACGCGTTGTCAGGGACAGATGATGCAGATGCGCTGGGCGTAGACACCGCAGTGCTGTCGCTCGATGTCGCTTCGGTCCCGGAAGCCTTTTCAGGCTTGGTAGCGGATGTTGTCTCTTCGGCCTCAGTCGTAGGCACAGAAGTCGTCTCGGCGTTGGTGGTAGAAGCTTCAGTCGCAGTCGTCGCAATAGAAGTTTTAGTCGAGCCCGTCAATTCAGCAGTTGAGCCCGAGGATCTCTTATCACCCTCATTGCCAGGCAGCAATTCCACACCAAGGTTGAAAACACTGTAGGCATTTTTTCCACCACAGGCATCTTTGGCGTATCCGGGACAAGGCGTGTCGCACTTGTCGTCGTCTACCTTGGCGGATTCGGCGGGGTAGATATCAGCGCAAATACACTCTACACCCTTGAGTATCGCGACTGTCTTCTTCTGGTCCTGACAGTATTCGGCGCATGAGCCGACGCTGTTGAAGGTGTCCGATCGTCCATCGGCTTCACTGGGGAGGGCACTGAAGCAGCCCTGTGGGGTGACTTCGCCGATAACAGGGCTTTCGGTGGGGCTTTGGAGCGCGTCCCTGGCCGCGACCAGCGAAAGAAGAGAGAGCAACGCGACTTTTGAGAATGCCATGATCGGTCGAAATGCAACTGTTTTGTGACTCTGGGAATGAAGAGTGAAGAGCTGACAAGGCGTTGTTTATATCCGTGAATTCTCTTTGCCCCCTCGCTCGGTCAGTGGGGGAGTTAAATTAGGTAGATGCTTGGATTGCCAATCATGGCGACCCGCTATCGTCGATGAAACGCGAAGGATCGTGCTTGCCCTGCTCAGCCTTGTGCAACAGTGTCGTAAGCATCACGATGGTGTCATTGTAGCAGCTGATTCAATGGAAGGAAGCATTAGCCATACAAGGAAAACACAGCGCACCAAACGCGTTGCTTCTGTTGGCTTGAGACAGTGAAGGCAGACACGGCGAAGGAAGATTAAGGGAGACTTCTCGAATCCTTCAATTAAGCTATGACCTCAGCCAAGCGAGAATTTCCCGTACAACCGCTTCTAGTGCCTAGAAAATGAGAGGAGCGGGATCCCGATTTACTGGTGACATTCCAAACAATTACCCTTGGGTGCGACAGCTTGGACATGAGGCTCTGTCGCTGCGCACGAGGAAACGCAATTGCCAAACAAATTCATCGCCCCTTGGGCGCTGACACGGTCATCGCATATCGGACCAGCTGACAGCTAATAACTTGATAGCAGCTTGCAAAGCGAGTCCACGAACGTAAAGCGATGACCGGCTGTTTCTCATTTGAGTGTTGAGTAATAATTCTCAACGAGTTCAACAGGACACAAAAGCAGTGCCGCTCAGTATGTAGCTCATGGATCGAATGAGAGGGCCAGTCCTTTATCGCTTAGTTGATTGGCGGGTTTAGCTCAGTTGGGAGAGCGTCAGACTGAAGTCAAACTTTGGAAATCGTAATCTGAAGGTCATGTGTTCGATCCACATAAACCGCAATCTTTTCTTTTGCATTTCTTTTATTTTTTTTGCACAAATGAAATTCCATATGATTCGATCAATAAGTTTCGCTGCCTCAGTAAGAACCCAAAGTTCTTGGGTGCAGTAGCTGCCCAGTTTGCGTATCGCAATATCAAACTCCTGCCCGTCATCGCGATGATACCTACTGAGTCTCGTACAGCTCGCATGCAAATGAAGGCCTTGTGCCGGGATATCCGTGTTGAGTAACTCTAAACTTAAGCATCCTGCAGCTTGATACGAGCTATGAAGGAGTCATCGAAGGCCGCGCGTTACACTACAGACGCATCAGCAGGAGTGCTACCAATACGTGCGTTTCAGCTGACGTCTAGCACCAAAAGTCCCAATATAAAGTCATTCGGAGCCTTGTGTCCAAGCGACCTCACACACGCACAAGAACACAAATGGGATATTGTGTCTCCCTATATGGTGAATGCAACTCATAGTTGCAGCTGCGATGGAAAGGATACCCCAGATCATTGAGTATGTGAATGGACTTTCCAGGATGAACAGATAAGAAAAGCCAAACCGCCGGGAACGCGCCCATCGATGTAGCCGAAGCCAAACCGAAGCTTGACAAGCCACCCGCAGCTCGCCCTGCCGATCGATGCTTACCCCTCTAAAAACGAAGTCATGATGAATGGCAGTGACCCTGGAACTTTAATTGAGTTAGGCTCAAGATGCACAAAAATCTCGCCATGGACATCCCAGAGAAACGAAGGGAGACGATTACCACCTACGCTATCCCCGGGCTCAGCATCTTGTGATCAGTGAAGTGAACAACTCTTGGTAGCACTGCGTCAGCTCCATCGATAGCTGAAAGCTCTTGAACCGTAAGGCTGATAAGCTGACAAGGCAACAAGGTACTGTCGCTAGGGCTTGAACTATAACGCCAAGGCGTCGGGAAATACGATGCACCCATTAAGATGCAATTGACCAATTAAAACAATACAGGAGAAGGGCTGATGTTGTGCTGGAGACACTGACCTTCTTAATCTTAACCGATTCTCAGCTCCCTGTAGCTTCTGATTCCAAGAAAAAGGACGAAAACATGCTGTTCACCTGGCGTACGAAAGTCGCTCGCCAACTTGCTTTGAGGCTGCATCCGTTCTTCGGGTGTCCCTTTGCGTGGACAGTCCTCTGGTCATCCCGATTGGTCTGGATATCTCCAGACTTTGCACTCTCGATCTGAGCCGCTGCAGCCATTGAACCTTGAGCTTGAGCTTGATATCTGGACGAATAGGAACATGAGTTGCACGTGTGTACTAGAGTCTTCCCAGCCTCCCAAACGGCGGAGCTCGCGTGGTGGCTCATTCCAGATCCATTGCTCTTCTGTCCTTGGTGTCTTACTGGAATCTTTCATGAAGTAGTCACCTATATAAGCTGACATTCCCCATGTTTCTTGGCGAATATCTACGAAAGACTGATCACTTGTCGCTGATTATCACTCTTGTACAACCTGGGACTTCATATCACACAACATTTACGCCATTCCAAACTTACAACCAGTCTCAAGATGAAGTCCTTCTTCCTTTTCACCACTGCCCTTCTCTCCTCATCTGCCTTGGCACAGTCAACTTCCCAGGCTGGAGGACAAGGCGGTGGCAGTGGCGGCGTCCTTCCCGAGTGCGCAGTAAGCTGACCATACCACTACTCTTCAAGCTAAACTGACATCTTCAAACAGCAACAATGTGCCCTGAAGGTCATTCAAGATAGCAAGTGCGGTTCTGAGGACCCCGGTTGCGTCTGTAAAGCTCCAGGGTTCGCCGAATCCTACGTCAGCTGCGTCGGGTCCAGCTGCGGCCCACGTGAGGCCGCTGGTAAGTTTTGATACTCTCATTGACATACTTGAGTGTAAGCTGATATATGTAGCTGCGATTTCCGCTGGCATTCGACTCTGCGAGGCTGCTGGCGTTACTATCACCGCCGTTCCGAGCGCCACACACGAGTCAAAGTCTAAGGCTCATGGACCAACATCCGCTGCACCCGTTGTTCCCGCCCCGCCTGTAGTAAGTCTAGATACTTTGAGAACACTCGGTGGAAATGTTAACACGTGCAGGTTCCTACTGCCCCTCCTATCGTCACCCCAACTGCACCCGCACCTATCCCTGCTACACCTGTTCCCACTGCTGGTGCCAACTCCCTCAACACTGGAGTCGCGGCTATCGGAATGGCTTGGGCTTCTATGATGTTCTTGTTCGCTCTTATGTAGAAAGATCAAAATTCACCAAGCAAAGATGCTTTGCCTAAAAAAGGTCTAAAGTATTGTGAAAAGTACGTCAGATTGGATACGCGAATGATGGATTGAGTATGTACATACGCACAATAGTATTAATATTTGTTCTTGAGCACTATTTTCTTCTTGCCATTTAGATTGTGCTCGAATTCCACGCGCCCGGAAGGCCGATTATAGAGCTTGCCTTTGAAAGTGGCATGAGATTTGAGATTTTACACTCAGTAATCTACCACCTGCGGGAGTTCTTCAACTTGTCAAATACCTTCAGAACCTGAACAGGACACTCTGTTTGTTTGTTTATGTTGATTTTCCAGTTTCCGTTTGCCTTTTGTCAAGGACATCGCGGTATCCATGACAACCACTGGCTGGCACTGCTGGAAATCAGACATCCTCAAATCACGACGCAAGCACGGACTTCATGATGATTTCGATGACTCACAGCCTATGAAATACAGGCTGTGATGTTACACGGCATCAAGAGTGAGGCTGCAGTCACGTGCTTGCGTTGCACAAGCGCGCTACTGATGAGAGTTCTGCTCTGTTTTGATGTCTCTGCTCTCCTTTTCTCTTCCTCACACCTCACCCTTCACTTCATTCCATCACCGACATCCCGTTCACTGCTGCACAATTTGTTTCTATTCTCATCCTCGTCGTAGTCATGGCGCACGCTGAAGAGGCAGCAGCCTCGCCAGCCCAGCCGTCACCGGGTCCAGTTGCCGCCCCAGCCGCTGAGCCTGAAGAGATTGTGTTGCCGCCGAACGTCACTTGCAGCCAGAAAGATAGACACATCGTTCGACGCTTCATTCAACGAATCGAAGCCGTCGTGGGCCAGAAGCCTTGGGAGTGGTTGGCCGAGGTCCAACCTAAGCAATAGAGTCGCAATATGTTGGCAGCCTTGGCCAACCTACTCGAAGAAGCCAACAAGGTTTGCAATGTGTCTGCCATCAGGGATGATCTCCATGAGAGAGCTCGCCGTGCTCCGCATAACGTTCTTCGTCCGTGCGATATCAAGGCCGCAAAGTGCTTCTTAGTCGCAAACAATCTCGCAAATTGCACTCGAAGTACTTCAAACCCTACTGCTCAGCGTCAAGATGAGCAAGAGATTGGAGCAACAGATGACGACGATGAGGCCACGGTCGACGAGCATTCCCCCCGAGGAGGCCTCGAACACATCTTGGTCGCCATCAGTTCTCAGAAGCTCTCGGATGCCGCTCGTGAGCATGAGGCCACTGCTGATAGTATCGTCGCCGTCACTCACAACGGAAACACCATCACTCCGGCTGAGTCTCATCCACCCGCAAAGGCTCCTGCAACACCTTCTCCGATGCCTAATCAGCCCACCAACAAGCGAGACCGCTCTATCTCGGCGACATCCGTCAACCCGTCAAACAAGCGTGTCTGCTACCAGACAGTACCATCTCTGCAGCCTCTTCAGCCAGGCGCTCCGGCATCTCTCATGATGACTGATCAGCACAATGTAAGCTCTCCCTCCTTGCCTGCTATGAAGGCTTTGCTAATCGAATGACAGTATGACGACCGCCCCGCGGGGATACAGGCAACCGACATCTTTCATCATCACCTGGAGATGCATGTGCAAGACTTGCGTCAGCAACACGAGCACCTCCTCGGCAATGTGGAGCTTCATCAGCACCATATCAACCACGAGCTAGAAATCCACCAGCCCTGCCTCGAGGCATATCGAGCCGCACAAGAATATTCCCTCCAAGCCGAGTCCAAGGTCGAAAACATTCGAAAGGATAGCGAAACACTCAACAACTGCCTCAAGAACCTCGCCGACTCGCAGAAATTCTGTCTGCCATCTGTCGCCGAGAATTTCGAGGCCGTGGAGCAACACATGGTGGCTCAGTTGGCCGCCAAAGCCAAGGACCTCGAAGAAGCTGAGGCGGAACTTGGTGCGGCTCACTTGGCATGCCATCAGACAGAAGAGGCTGCGCGCCCTGCTCTCGAGTTCATGAACATGGAGAAGCCCCTGCTGGAGGAGAAGAAGACAGCTGCTGAGAAGCTCGGCATGACTGTCGAGCACACGGGGTTCCTTCAACTTTTGGTCAGAACTAGTCCTTCGGCCATTGCAATTCTCGAAAAGTTCGCCCAGGACAAGGGTTCGTCGCTTGGAGAACTTCGGGCGGATATCGAAGAGCGTGCACTTCTCAACCAGATGGATGGTCAGCAGGCAGATGTACCCATGGGCTGAGAGCTTACCAGACGCATTCTTACGACTGATGAGTCAAACCCAGTATCTTGTGAACTAGCAAGGAAGCAATACTGTTAGGGCTGTAGCCTTCCGCAGACTCATGTTGTACCGCTTGTTGATGAGGATATGTTCGGGTTCGCATCAGTGGAACAGGCCTAGAGCATTGGCTCGTCATCTCTTTCTGATGTGTTTGAGTTCATCTGGCTACATTGCAATGGCAGACGAGATTTTGGAAGGGGGGATGTTTGATAGCCAGGATACAGGACCAAAGTTGGCATATTGGTACCTGTTCAAGTTACTTTCGGCCACAATGATAGAAGCTGATATGCTTCTGTACAAGTACTATCAAATACGAATATATTTACGCTAATACAGCACAATTCTCTCATGCTTCGGCAACCGCTGTCTTGATATCTGCATGTCTATCCTGCACTTACTGGAACTAAGACACGGCTTCTGTTTAGAGTCGTGAAGAGGGTGCTCTGTTGGGATCCATTTCCTCCTTCGCCTTCTCCCTCAGCTCCCGTCTCAAGATCTTCCCGGACTGAAGGCCAAAGGTTAGCGACATGGCATAAAGCTTGATTGTAGGTATCACTCACCGGGTTCTTAGGGATCATATCCACGAAAGACACACCGCCCTTGAGACGTTTATACTTTGCAACTCTAGCCTCCATCCAACCAATGATCTGCTGTTCGGTAATTTGTGATCCAGGGACCTTGACAAGATAAGCGCGAGGGACCTCATCGCCTTCATATGGAACACCAACGACTGCAGCATCTGCAATCTCGGGGTGATCCAAAAGCACGGCTTCCAGTTCTGCTGGCGCAACCTGGTTGCCCTTGACTTTGATCAACTCCTTGATTCGATCGACGATGTGAAAGATGGCTCCAGGCTTGAATGACTCGACGAAGGCGATGTCGCCTGTCTTCAGCCACCTCGTACCATTCTCATCAACATGAATTGTTGACGCTGTAGCACTGGGATTCTTCCAATATCCCTTCATCAACGTAGGTCCCGTAACCCAAAGCTCACCTCGCTCACCGGGCTTTGTCACTGGTGTCTTACCATCTAAATGCATGAGCATTGCCGAATAATTCGGTGCCAATTCTCCGACCGCAGAAGGATCGCACACAACCCGAGGGTCCCAAGTCATACTGGTGCATGTAACCTCTGTCATACCCCAACCCTGCTTGACGTTGACGCTTCCATCAGCCCACAGCTTCTCAACACTCGTGGCAACTTCTTTACTCAAAGGTGCAGCACCAGATCCGAGGCGCTCGACACTGCTGATGTCGTATTTCTTGACGAGAGGATGCTTTGACAGGTAGACCAAAATGGGAGGAACGCAGAGAAGGCTTGTGATCCGGAAGCGCTGGATGTGCTGTAGCATCTTCTCAAAGTCAAAGGCGGGCATGATGTATGCAGGGACGTTGAGATGGGGATAGATGGAGATGAAGTATGTTTGCGCGTATGCATGATACATGGGGAGAAAGTCGAGGCCTTTGGTACGCTTTTGAAGCTCGGGATCAGGCTCTAGGTCTGAAATGAGGACGACACCTAAGCCGTTGGCGACATATGACGTGTGAGTAATCTCAACGCCTTTGGGAACGCCCGTTGTGCCGCTGCTATAGTTGAGGCAGCAACCAGCTGTCTCTGGATCCGCGGGCTCTGTCCATTTCCAGTTCTTAGCCTGTGCTTGGTTATCAGCTACAAGATCAGTCCACATGCGAAGACCATCCTTCGTAATCGAGGGCGCAATAGGTGTTGTTCCAACAGGCGGAAGTACAGACGGATCGATGACGAAGATGTTTTCCTTTGGTAGGCCAACTGTCTCAGCAGCCTCCAATGCCGTGGGTAGTTGGTTCGCAACAACAAACATATGCGTGCTCTCAGAGTTTTTGAGCTGATACGCAAGCTCTCGCGGTGTGAAGGCGGGATTGGCACCAGTGAACATAGCACCGGTCATCAAGATGCCGAGGAATATGCATGGGAAGTAGATGTTGTTGGAGGAAAACATCAGCACTTTGTTTCCTGGCTGCAGACCGGCTTTCATGAGACCGAGGGCAACTTGTTTGGATAGAAGTCGGAATTGCTCCTTTGTGAGGAAGTGCGTGTCTGGACGGTCTGCGTCGATGAGGATAGGCTTATCGCCCTCCTCGATGGGCTCAGTGGCTGAACCAAAGACCCATTGCTGCAGGGAGCATTTTGGAATCGGTTTAGACCATCGTGAATGGAGAGCCATATTGAATAGAGATATCAGACAAACGTGAGAACAGAACAAACAGATTTCACAATCTATCAAGGGAGATCAGGCATGGAAAGAGGAGAATTACAGATCGATTACGAGCTATTTAACACGTTTTCCCGGCCTAGAGCAAGCTGAGGAGCAAATCCGGGGTAGACCAAGCTATTTCGACCGCCAAATGATGAATTCCCATGGCAAACCCGTGTGGGGTAGCAACCAATCTTTGCTCCTTTTGGCACTGTAACCCCGCGTTTCGACCCTCGGCTCGCTTGCGACGATCGAGCATTCGAGAGAAAAAAGCCGAGGCACGATCTGGTGGACGGATTGAGAGATAGCTCGAGACGACTGCGGGTTCCTTGATCCGAGAAAGGTGGGGGAGGTTGGGTCAGGAGGGTTAGGTTTGCGAGATGGAAGTGAGGGTACGGTGATTCGGTTATTGTTTGAGTTTCGGTGTTTCTGATTGATGTAACATGGTAATAAAGTCAATCTGAAGGATTTGGTTCTGAGTGGTTGGGTGAAAAGGTTCACGGCTTAAAGTGGTAATGGATTGAAAAGTGTGTATCACGCTGACTCAGGCTTGATCAAGGATTAAAAGAATGGCCAGTGACATGTAATACAAGTAATCTCACTCTTGTCAATCGCGCATCCTTTTGAACACCAGCTGTCACCGCGATCCGGGAGCCATCCGTGCGTCCTCGTTCACCCAAGACCTTCAACCTCGGCTGCCGAGACTAAGTCGCGAAACGAAAGTCAAGTCTGGATATAAATCAGCAAGTTATAACATTTCCGCCGCGACCGAACGGAAACTCACCGCTTGTTGCCCTTGTCGGTCGTTGTTGTCCTGTAATGATGCTGTTGCTCTGGGGTCATGGCGTCCCATTTCTTGGCCTTCTGGTTGTTCCTCCACCTGTAATAAAAGAATGTCCCGGGATATTGAACGAGCTGTGAAGGTGTGAGCCTGGCTTCATCATTTGTAATGGCTATGCTCAATACTTACACACATCCATACACAAATGACGAGAAGACCTGTGTTGGCTTTGAAGTATCGGGGCGAGTCGCTTGGCTGATAGACTGCGACATGTCAGTGACTCAGCTCATACGTGGCCATGGGAACTTACTGTTTGCTCCGATCATTCCACTGACTTGAACCCACATATTATAGAGTCTATACATCGTTAGATATCATACTTTGAAATGAAGGTGAGCAACCTTACGATGCTGAGACGGTTCTGTTCTGCACTGACCCCGCATTCCTGCTCGTCCATGCGACTTGAATGGGATGAGTGCTAGGTGCTGTCAGTGAAAAGAACACTTTTGAGTAGGAGGGCACTCACTATGGAAAAGACAGAAGCACTGTTGAGATGGCAAAGTAAGCCCAAGGGCCGATTGGATCAGGTAACGCGATCAATGCCACGA